TCTCTGTTAAGTGAAAAATAATAAACATAGAGAAAATCATGAAGGTACACATTTTGAAATCATTCTGGATCTGTACTGTTCGAAAACTGGCTGTTAAGTGAAATGTAATAAAAATAGAGTAAATCAAGAAGTTATAAGTTTTTGAATCATTTGGGCTTTGTACTATTCGATATCTCACTGTTAAGTGAATAATAATAAAAATTGACGAAATTGTGAAGGTAAGAAATTTAGAAACATAGCGATATAATTTGCTCTATATAGTCACTAAAGTAAAACTTATCGTCTGAAATATAATATATAATCCATAAAAAAACAAGTGCGGTTATTGGACTATCAAATAGTTTTGCTTTACTGTTGTAGAGTTGTATTGTAGACTATTGAATGTCCTACAAACTAGGTTATGTATTATTTTTGTTGGTCTCCTTTCAAGAAGTTAAGTGATTTAATGTTCTTATCAGTTGAGGAATAGAGTCATAATAAAGAAGTCATAGAGGCATTTTTCCTCAATTCCGCAACAATAAAATGTTTAAGTTTATTTCTTATGTATCTAACAGATACATATATTTTACTAAAGTTCTGATATCAAAAAGTTGAATGAATATCTTCAAACATTTGTTGTGATTAATTTTGTGTAATTGTTTTTAGAGTACTTGCATTAGAAGTAGAAGAAGTAGTATCTGAAGAAGAGCAGCAAGAGTTGATTTATAAAATAGATATTTTATCTGTTTTGTTTTGCTTTAGTGAGCTTGAGCTTGGAAGTATTCTATTGTAACTATTTCAAGTTTAATTATTTTCTCCAGAATTTAAATTAAAAGTCGACGAAATATGTGAAACAAAAAAATAAAAAATAAAAAAAAAAAAAAATAAATTCCGAATTTGTCCTCAAAAGTTAGTTTTGAGAGATATTTGAAATCGATATCTTTTTTTACACTTCCCCCCTTGTTTTGTGTGTGCAAAATATAAATGTACAAACAATGCGAACAATAATAGCAGAACTTTGTTGAAATATTTTTTGCATATATTGTTGGAAAAGTTTTGTAATTTATTCTGCGCATGAAACAAAGATGTATATTGCAGCAATAAATCAATAAGTAAAAAGTTTTGATTTCTTTATATACGGAGGCAAACAAATCTCTATGACTATATGATGAAAATATATTAATTTACATATTTAAGTAAAAAGTAAGTTGACAATTTTAAAGAGGGAAATAATCCGCACGGAGCAGAATGCGAAGCTACAGGCAACGATTGAATGAAACTTTTCTTTAAAGTTTCAGCATTCAGCATTCAGCATTTAAAGTGATTTCCTAATAAACGGAAATACTCTTTGCCGGTATAACTTCAGATAACTGTCTAGAGTAGGGTTCATTTATTTATATATATACAAATATATAGCACGAAACGCAAACTCTTCCCACTACTTTGTGCGAACAAAGCTATTCTTAATGCTGTGTATTCTTTAGAATACAGAGTACTTTTCAACTAAATGACAGTTGATCATGGCGTGAATCTTTCTAAGGACACTTTATTTTAATTTTAGAATAAGAACTAAGGGAAAATATGTCCACGAAAGCCATTTGTTATATAAAAATTTGTATATCTACTTATAAGATGTTAGCGTGGAGAAAAAGTTTTGAGCATGTTTTTATAAAAATTGTCCCTTTCTCAATAGAAATTGCTATTTTCATTATAACATGGACAATATAGTACTTAATAAATGGCATTTACTTTGCTAGATGATTTAGCTTATACTGATAATTTGTACCTACTTTGTCAGATTTTATTGTACAGGTCGAATTGGAAATTAATAACAGGAAAAGTAAGATCATGTATAGTGGATATGGGGTTACATCTTCCCATTCAATTCATTAGAAGCTGAATAGCTAGTACGTATGGAATCAGTGATGTACCGGAAATAGAAGAGAAGCAGAAGAAGATCAAATAGAAATAATAAGGTTAGAAATTAGTAAAGGAAAACGTAAGATCATAAGCAAAGGATTTGGTCGTACATCTTCGTAGAATGTGTCTAATTAATGATGTGCCTGAAAAGCATTATAAATAATAGAAGCGCACCAGACAAAGATGATATAGTTAGAATTAATAATATTAGATATTAGAAAACAAAAAGTAAGATAAAGAGCAAAGGATATGGTCGTATATCTACTTCCGTTCGACTGAAAGCAGGAGAAGTAGAATGTGTGCAATTAATAATGTTACTCGCAATCATTATAATAAATAGAAATGGAACATGTAAAAAAAATATAATAAGAATTAATAGTATTTAAAATTAATAAAAGATAATTCTTAGTAAGGTGAGCCGGTCCTGACTTACAGAAGAATAAAGGCATGATATATAGATGGATATAAATTATTCTTGGAACTTTGACGTTACAAATATTCTGTATTGATAACACAATTTTAATATTCTATGTATGTGATTTGACTAGAATCACATACATAAATCAACAATTGTTTAAATTCTAATGTTCGTGATTTTTTTAACATCCTACATTGGTCGACTGTATCAATAATTTCATAATTCACACAATTTCTAACTTCTATCATTCTGGCTCAACAGCATTTCATAACCTTCATGAAAGGTCAAATTATTGACAACAGAGGAGTATTACAGAAATCGGATTATTAAATAAATATATGATGCTATGCCAGTACAATGCAATTAGAGCCTGAAAATATCCCTACCAACTTTTTTCTTCGAATTAAGAATTAATATAACGAATTAATATAAACTGAACTCGATTCGATGTTCTTATGTACAATATCTTTTTCATTGATTATTTTAGATTCAGTATAGTCGTTTATTCAGGTGGTAGTTTTTTAAGACCATTATTTTCTAACAGTAAGTCTTCAACTCAGACCGTTAAGGCCAAAGAGTTAGGATGCGGAATTATCGTCTCGTTAGGTGGTAGTAGCTCATAATGGATGCTGCTATTACAATTTCATAAGGCAATTCTATTTTCGAACCTCTATAACCGTTTTATTGATAATAATTAAATATTATTTACTTTTAAATACTTCTTACCTTACGCATCAAAATAGTCAATTTCACTCTCTTTTTGTAACTGCGATCCACTGATAAAATTTATTTAAATAAATTCGATTTCTTCAGTTCTTGAGGTTTCGAAACATCATGTCTTTGAGTTCTGAAAACTTTATAATTTAAAATATTTTAAATTTTTTTATATATGTCATTTAATTTAATCAATTACTTTAATTTAATAAATTTTTAATTATGTTGTCGTACGTTCTACAAAGCTTTTTTGTTTTTTTTATAATGTACCTCTGTCCATACAGAGCTATTCAATTCATGGATCCAAATTAAAGCTAAGTAAAGTATTTCTGTTATTGGGACTTCTATTAAGATCTTACCTTATTAAATTTAAAATGCAATATTATTATGTCTATACTGAGACAAATCATAGTATTTGGTCCTGTTGACATAATTTTCGTTGACTTCTTTACTTATAGTTCGAAATTGCTCAACTATGATGAATATTTATTTTGTAAGTCTCGAAGCGTTACATATCCGCATAAATACAGTCCAAAGTTTACCAAAAATGCAGTGGTGATGATTTGCAGGATCTTGTAGGCAAATTTTCATGATCAATATAAGAAATTATACTGAATGGAAATCTCTTGTATTCGAAAACTGAGTATGTTGTATGATTTGTAGCTCTTCATGTTCAAAACACATATCTTCTACATTTACATCTATAGTTTTATGCACAAAAAAAATTTATTATCATCTATCTATAGCAGTCAGAAGTGATGAGACTTACCTTTATTATATTCAAGAAATTTGGGACCACATTTCAAATTTAGTTCACACCAAATGCAACACCATTTTTGTGAAGATACTTGATTTTTACAGATACTAGTAAATTCATTATATGTTATTACTCTAGAAATGTGAAAACAAGATTCACTTTGTGGAGATTTACAATTTATGTAGTAAGTTTCCAAAATTTGTTTTATGTAGCGATGCATATTACTGCTTCACATACCTATGCCACTGAAATAGTGCTGCCAAATCAGGAACATGGACTGAATAACCCTTTGGAAACATAACAACCACTCATGCGGCATCTAGTTTGTATGTAAATATCAAGAGTATTAAGGGTGATTGGTGAACCTCGCAATAGTTGTTCGTTCATTGTAAAAGCAGATGAAACTATGCATAAGTATGATCTCTGTATGCAGGCAGTCTATGTCTTGAGAAAGAATTACAAATAAAGTATGGGCTAAACAATTTTTATATTTTACAAAACGATTTTTTAACACCTCGGAAAGGGAGCTAAAAATAATTGAACTGAGTTTCCGTCCATCATAGATGACAAGAAAAGTCATCAAAAGAGTTGCTATCTCTTTGGGACGATTGAATGGCTGTCAGTCAATGTGAGCTAACCTGACCAAATAATTTGATCAAATCTTTGTTGTTAACCATTAAGGTATAATTTCTTTGAGTTCAAAATGATAGTGGAAGGAAAATGTTGAGAATATTTAGTTACAAAAATATCTTTAAGAATAAAAATAAATGTTTTCTACTTCTTTTTGGAAATATTGAATTCTCATAAATTTCTTATGGAATATATGGAAGTTAATTTCATTTCACTATGTCAAAGGTACTTTGGAGTCAACTCTCACATTACCGGAGACTATTTATTTAATAAATTGAAAGTAAAGCTAAAAAGTATTAATTATATTAACCAAAAAATACAATAATCTTCATAAGCTTCATAAGCTTAAACGACAACACTTACTTCATTGTGGAGGTCCAAGTTCAGGGAAAAGAAAAGAAATACGAAAAAGATAGAGTTTTGAAACAAAGAGTTGTGAATATGAGATCAATCTAAATATTTGTTATTTAGTGAATTGATTTCGTTACTTAAAAATTCACTATAACTTAGCTGAATATGTTATACATTAGTCGTTCATAATATCAAAGCTATTCGTAGTCATTACTAAACATGTTTGGGGATGTTATATTATTTATTCACAAGTCAACAGTACAAAAAATATGTTTTATAATCGCCAAACATAATACACTTTTACCAAATATTAAATATAATTTTTCGGGAAAAATGTCTGTGGAACGGATTCTTAGCAGGCGCTGTCAGTTCTGGCAGATAAGAAAATGCTGAGCTACCATAGTCCTTTATGATTGCTCTAAATCGGGAATAGGTACTGGTATATCATTAGTAGAGTCCTTCTCAGAGTCCGAACATTTCTTCTTTAGGTTCCTTATACATTCTGTATTCTAATCATTGCAAACTTATTAAATAAGATTCAGTATGGTTAGTATAATATATTACCTCATTAATAAAGTAAGCTTCTTCACCCTTGTCTTTGTACTTGCTTGTACAGCAAGTATTCCTGAGAATAAGCACGGACACCGGTTTGCTTACATTCTGTTCAGCATCATCTGGACATTCCGGAGCTTTATCCTGTATCACGACCTTTCCGTTATCTCGGATTTGTTTTAGGAGCTCAGCATCTTTCTTATTAAAATAACGATCCTCATTATATTTGTCTTCATTGGATCGATGACTAAAAAAATAATTTGGAGTTCTGTAAAATATAACCATTATAAATATGTGTTTAATTTATTCAGAATATTTGTGGAATTTTTTACTTAGTGGCCATAGACCTGACAGCGCTGGAGAATATGTTCCTAAACATTTTGTATATTTCACTTTTAAAATTTTGTAATTACAGAATGACGAATCAAAAAAAAATCGAAACCATGACAAAGAATTTTTATATATTTTTTACAATGCAATTGCAATTTTTATGAATTTTATGTACTGCAAATATATTAACTTAATAAATTTTAAAAATAAAATATTTGATATAGTAAATTTTTTAATTTCAAATACAATTTTCATTGATTGCTTTGATAAAATTTTAACAATAATAAATTTTGAAACTAAAATCGATTTTAATGGTATATTTAGGCTATTGTATGTAAATCGATTAATATGCAGCAAGACATGCCATTTTTATATATAATTCATACAAAATCTATACAAAAATATGATAAATATGATTGATTAGTCTAGGTGTATATACAATATGTATAATCTAAAATTTGGTGTGGTCATATTGCTGGTTTGGTCATGTCATGCGAATGAAAGAAAGTGCTCCAGCTAGAAAAGTGTTTGGGGTAATTCTTGTACGTGGAAAACGCGGTAGAGGATCCTTTTTGCATTTTCGGTGAAAGGATCAGGTAACCAACGATTTGGGGGCGCTCTGTATTACCAACTGGCGACAACAAGCAACTGAACGAGCTGACGTGGTCAAGGACACAACTCACGTCTATAATGGCCAACTAAGTAAGTAAGTAAGTGATGATACTTAAGTAGAATATTTTTTCAATTCATTGAAGATTTATTGTTAAATTTATTAAAAATATAGAAAAAAGTTAAAATCTTCTTTAGAAATTATGAGAAATAAAAATGATTTTTACTCGAAATGAAGAAAAAAGTATGGAGTAAAAGAAAACTTAAAACCTTAAAAAAATCAATTGAAATCTGCTTTAACTAGTTGAAAGCCTTGATAATCTATTTCATCAATTAATTTAGTATATCTGTGAGGTTCATTTACTTCAAGAATAAAAGTGAAGAAATGACTTTGGCGACTTTTTAAGTACGCCCTGCCATTAAAAATTATACCATCTCATATAAATCTTTTTAAAGTCCAATTATTGACACTAAGATGGCGACCAATGTTTTAGTAGATATCCTTATTGATCAGCTTATAACGACGCTGGAAGAGTAGAACCTAAGTTAGAGTTCAAACAGCATTACTATGTAAACATAATGACTATTCATCTTCTGATTAAAGCCTAATCAGTTATTTTCATCATTCGAACGTGTCTTCGGTGGTGCTTAATATATATTTCATAGCCATATAAAAAAAAATTTGTTAAATAAAGTAGGCATAATAAATATTTAAGATAGCAAAATATTTAAAAATGTGAACCATGAACTTTTTTTCCAATATAAAAATTTTAGTAATACAAAAACTAATTTTGGGAACCCATCTTTCCCTATCCCTACAGCACTATAGGTACTTCATAGGTACTATTCGATGCTTCCGGCAGCGCATATCTCTTACTTATGAATTTTCTTTCCGTATCGAAATACATGCATGTTTCAATTATTCAAGACCTGGTCACTGTACTGGCTATTTTGTTAAAAGTGCGTTCATTTCCTACTTGTAGTCAAAGATGTTTACCAGCAAGACAACCCTCATTTTGCTTTTTGAATTAATATAAAGTACTCATGTATTCATAACTATATGAGTTTAGGAATAAAGTACATAAATCCAGTACCGGTATAAATAAGCAGTACGAGTGTTCTACGCCAAAAACAAGGTGACCGAATACTTTTTCGACAATTTAAATGGAAGAATTTAGGCCTTTCTGAGAGCAGAATCTTTGCCAAAGGATTCCACTGGCACGCAATTCTGCAAATCTGTAAATCACGAAACGCAATTCTACCGGTACTATCTTTTCCAATTCTTTGTTTTACGATAAATCTAAAATGACTTGAATTGATGTTCATGTACTTCCGTTTGCGCGGTAACACCTCGACTGACTACATGACGCTTATTCTTATATTTATCACACTACAATCTCTATTCGATATTTGATCTGAGTTATGAGGCATACATTTTTCTTCTGCCAATACTCCTTAATTTATTTGGCATGGGTGTAACTCGTTTCTTCAAGCCTTCTCATCATTTTTTTACACTTTTGGTCTAACTAGGAGAAAATCAAACACTTTCGGAACCCCTTTCAGCCTATGTACGAACCAACGTTATTCCTGTGGTACCATATACAACACCGCCACTTCAACCAATTTCTCGTAACTTTTGCATTCTATTCTTTTGAATATCTTTTCTATAATAATTATTTTAAAAGATGTCTAAAAACACCTTTTAAAATATTGAATATATTTACGTATATAAAAAAAACGCAGATGTTTTTGAATCTATTACCAGCGCAGAGTAAATACCCAGAAATCTTTGTACAATTTTTATAAATTTTAATAAGAAAAGTAAAAAATTCTAAATAAAATATTTTAATATTCAATTTCTTTAAATATAAAAAGAGATAAATGTACTTATTGCTTATTTCATTAAATTTAAAAAAATTCTATCAAATAGGATTCCATCCTCAAAATAAGCAGAAATTTCCATTCCTTATTAGTGCTTTAAGCTTAAATTGCATTGAATTTCCGTCAAATCCACAATCAATGTTTCATAAGAAATTTTTGCGACATTTTGTCGATAACAAAACAATATAAAATAATGCGAGCATAAAAAAGTTGAAATGCTTAATGCGGATTTTAAACACATTTCCTTCGAATTTTCGTGCCACGTTGACTCGGAGCGAGTCGCAAAGGACGAGGACGTCACACAGGAGGCCTAAGACAGAAACTGAAATATCGTTGACTCCGACGAAAAAACCATTTATCAGACACTTAAGCATCATTTTTGCGTAACTAATTCAACTTTATGATGACAAAGCAGATTTATAAGTATGGGAATTTTTCCGTTCCGAGTGAGACATGAGCACATTGTAAAACATATTGAGACTGACACATTTTATATGTGAATTAAACGCAAATGTCTCGAAAATGATGCGAAAGGAGTAGCAAATTAATAATAACTGCCGCATATTTCCACTGTGCCTCACTGCCTTGACTATACAAACCGAAACGCTTATAAGGAGTATCACATCACATTCAAAAGACTTGGGCGTATGAGTGTTTTTTTTCTTCTTCCCGCCTTCATATTAGACGCGGAAGAGGTTTAATTTAATAAATGTATATTTAATACATATATATATATATGTATATAATCTAATATAAATACATATAATGTTTAAGTAATTTAGTTGAATTTCAGAAATGATATTGAATCCTTCAGAAAAATAAGAAGAACATTATATGAGGTCGTAGAGTATCAAGATATTAGGAATAAAGAATACTAAAAACTAATTTAAGTCAACTAAATTGTCTGAAACTAACTTCTAAAACCACTATTAAAAAAATAAAACTTTTTCAACTAAAATCATAAAATATTAAGGCTACATGATTTGCAACAGTGTTATATATATTCTATAATGTATCCATTAAAGGGCGAGGAACCTAACATAGCAGTCCAGTTCCTTATTCTTAGTTAACTTTAAAAGTAATTTTAGTGTCAACTCACAAATAAATAAATATCTATTCAGATTCATACATTTAAAGTTGTGAATTATTTCTAGTCTTATTAAAATGAGGGAATAATGAAGTTCTCACTATGATAAAATATTTAAATCTGTGATAATCCACTAGGATTAACACAAACCTAATCACTTATTGGTACCTATAACAATATGAGATACCAGGATTGTATAGACTTAACAATAGAAAACTTAGAATCAACACACGAATCTTAACAGGACACTGTAAACTAAAAAACCACCTCACAAGACTGGGCATATATATGGAAACAATTGTAGATTCTATGAAGGGAATGAAAAGTCAGCCATATATGTGATATTAGAATGCGCTGCACTAATGCAGACTCCTGGGAATTTATATCTTTACGGAAGAGGCAATAAAATTCTGTATACTAGTCAACAATACACAAAGTGCTGTGTAATGCATAAATCTTCAAAATATGATTGACATGTTAGATCTGTGATAATGCCCATATTAGCTATATTATGAACTGTGTAACTTGCAAAAATTCTCTTTAATTGCTAGAAACATTTTGATAGTTAAATTTTTAGTTTATTTTGCAAAATACATCCATTTCGAAACACATTTTTTGTTGGCAGAGTAAACAAAGTTATTGAACTAAAGAAAGAATTCTGCACAGATAAAGTCGAATATTGGAATTAGACCGATATAAGGGCATTACAGTGACCAAGAACCTATATGAGAACTAGTTTATTACATTTTGCAACGCTGTTTTACTTCATCTAATATTATTTCCAAGTTTAATTCTTCTAAAACTTAAGCTTTCCAACTATAAATCTGGCTATAACTTTTATATATATCTAGGATATTATCATTAACATTTACACTATTATCGTGATATTGCCCAATAGCCAGTACTGCGGCCAGAAAAGTTCTATTGTACCAAATTAATCTGTTTTGATGACAGAAATTTTATATAGAATAAGTTTCTTCTTTAAGTTCCTGCGTTCTTAAAGATGGACATTCACAAAGAGTACTCATAGTTGTTTCCTTATTTTCGAGACATGATCTGCATTTCAAATTAGCAGATAATCAAAGTTTATGTAGGTGGTGTTTCAGTCCATGAAATCCGTTATCAACTTTTAATTACTTTTTGAGAATTTAAGAATGTTTTTGTAGGAGTACCGTTTGCTTTGTAGGAGTAGGATTAACGATTTTCCCTCTCCTTGCTAATTTATTTTATACTGACCCAGTTTCACCCACAAAAAGAGTTGTGTGCCTGTAAAAGCAATTTCTGTTGCAGTTTTCGCTAGCTGATCAGCTTGTTCATATTCCAAAACTCGCCTGTGTCTCAGACCCCAATAAAGACTTATCTTATTCTGAACTGCAAGTAACTGTAGAAGCTCGTAACATTCGAGGACCTGTTTTCATTTTATATAAATATCTAGGATAAGAAATGGGTACAAAAGGCAGAAAAATTTATTAAGTGAATGTGATTAATTACAATGTGTGTAATTTTAATTAGTAATGAGCAACAAATTAAATTTAGTT